AACATCAAAATAAAATAAAATCTTCTTAAAAGAAACCTACGTATATTTCTCAATAAATTTTGTTTAAACATCAAAATAAAAGAATAACACAACTTTTAAAAATACATACAGCTGATTAAAATCATTAAATTAAACCGTAACAAAACACTGGCGCGCGTAGTGAATAAATGGAGAACTAATTGAGAGCGAGGGAAAGTAAATTTAGAGCGAGGGAAAATCAGCTGATCGATTTTCCCTCGCCCTAAATTAGAGCTTGGGAAACGACTACTTTCATTGATATCAGCTGTTATCGAAAATAGTTACTTTCGTCAAGGAGTGATGAAAAAGTATTTCTCAAGGTTTCATTTTGTAATTTATATAGTAAGCTACATGTAAAGAGGCTTGACTATAGTTGAAGAATACATTAGGCTATGGTAAAACATGTCATTCGTGAGCATCAATATGAAGCAATTTATGTTGCTACACTAAGGTATGTTGTCATATTCTTTTGGATCTATTACAGTAACATAAAAAGTAGGGGTTGAAAGTAAGTAGGTTTACACTTTTAAATCAGTTTATATTTTCAAACTAAATCATAGAGTTGCTGTATTTTAAAACACATATCAGAATTACTTTAATCTCTAGGTCACAATTTCTTCCCGTTGCAAAGCACGGGTATAGCAGCTTGTATTAAATTGAAAACACTACTGTCTGAACCTGCAGGTGCTGGGATTGATCATTCAGATTTATTGAGCGACGGCCGACGATATATAAAAGTATGCTACCAATTTTTGTCGGTGAAACGAAGTTAGTAGGTCATCATTTATGAAAACCATAAATAGCGTTTCAGCATTTACGATTTTATAATACCATAGACTAAGCAACACAAGGGAGTATGTTTTATCTATGATAATACTTGATAAACTTTGTTAGAAACTCAATACCTATTATAAATATCTAAAGTAGCAATTCGTAAACAGCAAATGTCCATGAGGAAAAAATATACCTCCGCCGCAGCAAACCTGCAGACTAAGCGAATTTCAACTTGTCTGATTACATTTTTACTAAAATACTTCCATAACTAAGACATATTTATTCCTAATTTAAATAACATTAGATTGAACGAGTGCTTAGGTTTGCTGCTACGGGGAAGGTAAAACGTGTTTTTGACCATACGTCAATAGTATAGGACGAAATAAATAAATTTGCCACATTTTATCAATATATATCCATAAACAAGTAAACTACAACAGTTTTCATTTTCTCCATAAGAATAACATGGGAATTTTAAATTACACATTTTTTTTATTTTCTCCGGGACCGTTAGACATACAACAGCGCTTTAATATACTAAATTATATCTTTTTATAATAAGCTCTACAAAATGGTTTAGAAAGAAATTGCAACATTTTTTGTTTTTAGGGTCAAAAATGGGAAAACCCCATTTTTACCCCATAAAACCCCCCCCATAAACCCCCGTTCCCATGGTCCGATTATGCTGGTTCGCGCGAACTCGTTCGAATAAACGTAGGTTCACACGTTTGTACCAAATTTAATCAAAATCGGATCATTTTTGCTTTAGTTGTCGCGCTAATGGACACACACACACACACACACACACACACACACACACACACACACATATATTTATATATATATGAATAATTGTTATATATGTTTTAATTTTATTTTAATATATGAATAAATATATATATATATATATATATATATATATATATATATATGAATTTGAACGGATGGTGTTTTTGGCCTCTAGGGACCTCAAAACGAAAAATTAAATCGGTCCTGGGTCTAGGTCTTACCATGAGTACTACGGTAATAGCTTCTTCCCTATATGGGAAATTCGCTAAAAATGAGTAAAGAATGTATTAAATACAAGATGATTCTGAAAAAATGAATAACGTGTCAAGATCTTCCCTAATAATGCGTAGTGTCGTTATAGGCCTGTATAGCATGAAAGTGTTTTCATAAGGTATATTGTTGATGTATTCATGTTGATTTGCAGTTAAATGAACTTTTTCACCCAAGTAGGTGATTGTATTTTGAGAGGAATCTTGCTTTAGCTTCAGGGGTAATGGATAGCTCTGTTGGCAGTTGCCTTTACAAGCCTATCCTGAATGCAAGAAGCCTACATCACCACAGTATAAAGTAATTATAATTGTCATACCTCTGTTTCAGATAGCTGTTGGTGTATGGCCAATATACCTATATTGTAGAATGATCGTATATCGGGTATCAGATTCCCTTGACCAATCAATATAGCCTACAGCCGCTTTACCTTGCTTACAATAATTGTATCATTTACCAGTATAGCCTAGATAGTATTTTTTATTCCAATTACTGATATGGATACAATATTAACTCACGTTGGATAGCGTACAAAGTATGTTTTTAACTGAACCTCCACCCTCCATGTAGGTTTTCTTTGTCCTTCGGGCTATTTACGTTTTAAGTGTTGAAATGAAACACGAATGAGTACCACTTACCTACGTATGCGGGGTCTATAAAAATATTAGAGTTTTAAAATAAAACTATTGTATCATGAATAATGGTAATAAAAGCTCAAACTTTCTTCTCACAATTCGTAGCAAGCTGGAAAGTGTAGCTGGGCGAACTTTATAAACTTGGAGAGACTTAAACATTGACCCATGAGACTGAGAAGCTTAGGCAAAGTGGCAAGTTGACGGTTGGAAACTAATCAAACTGACAATCCGCTTCCAACTTCTCTGCTGCTTAGTCTGCTTACCATAATCTGGTGACGAACATTTCACTTGACACCTCTCATGACAGTACGGATGATTGAAATACAACTGTGATATAAAGCCTCCCATACAAAATTAAAATTAAAAACTAAAACTAAAAAAATAGAAGTTTGTCGAATTCGTTAAGCTGTAAAAAAATACTAGTTACTGTGAATAATTATGCAAACTCAACTAATTAGCATTTCATTTGCTCGTTCATCAAAACCGCCCAGCCACTGATTGCTACTATTTGGAGCGTGTCGATATTTCTGTTTCATTAACCAATTTCATGTTTACACTTTAGAAGATTTAAATCAACTAGTTAGTTCTATTTTCTTGGTGTTGGGTTTAAAATTCAAAGTTACACCAGAATAACATTTTAAAATAATTTAGTTGATCCCCTTTAATGATATGGTATCATTTATGAGTTTTAAACACAAACCGTTAGCAGGATACGTAAAAGATAATGCAGAACTCCAGCATGGTGCTCTTAACGTGTAATTCCGTTATAATCTTAATTCTAAGTGGCCTCCGAAATATATAAAACATACTGTTACAAAAGAGCAATAGGCCTACTTCTTTCAATCATTAGATTATATCAAGTAACCATTGAATCAAATTTGTTATTTTGTAGACAGGTATTTCAACAGAGCACCATGCCACCATGCATACTGTATACACAAATTCAGATACCAGTTACGCTGCTGCTGTGTTCAATTTCGTGAGAACATTTCGTATCTAGTTTACATTCTTGAGTACTGCTCCTATAGACGATCATACTTATAGCACGTTTTTGGCTACCTGCATACTTTATTTTGAGCTAGTAAGAATGAAATTTTAAATTAAAATCATGATATACCATCCATAAACGGAAAAAATAATAGAAACTACAGTTTTATGGCTTATTATGAATGTGTAGATTATACTGAGCACAAGCTGCTATACCCGTGCTTTGCAACGGGAAGAAAATGTGACCTAGAGAGCTATTAAAGTGATTCTGATGTTTGGTTTAAAACACGACAACTCTGTGATTTAGTTTGAAATAAACTGATTTAAAAGTGTAAACCTACTTACTTTCAAACCCCTTTTTTTATATCCAAAAGGTATGACAACATACCTTAGTGTAGCAATAACATAAATTGCTTCATATTGATGCTTCACGAATGACATGTTTTACCATAATTTATTCTTCAACTTTAGTCAAGCCTCTTTACATATAGCTTACTATATAAATTACAAAATGAAACTTTGAGCAATACTTTACAAAACATATACAACCTTTCTTTAAAATCAAACATAACCCTCTTAAGTCTACATAAAGCGTCACAAACATCTTTTTCCAGTAAATAAACAAACACCACTTCATTATACTGACCAGCTGTTTCATTAACTAAATTTTTGGAAGCATGCCAGGCGTAGCCCTTTGGAAATCAGCAAGTGGGGCAGAGCCCTTAGGAAGTTCGTCCCTATAAATACTTTTCGGGAAATCTACACACTCTAAGCTTCATTTTGATGTGCCATATGCCTATATTTTTATTTGGTAAATGACCTTAACCGTTTACATAGAAATTGATTGTATCACTTTAATAATATAATAGATTTTTATTTGGTAAATGGCCTTAACCGTTTACATAAAAATTGATTGTATCACTTTAATAATATAATAGATTACGTCACAATCATGAATCACCAGTTTATTAATAATTCACTCAATATACTTATAGGAATAGCGAGGCCTCATACAATACTGGGACAGACCATAACAATTATCACCTATTGGGAAAGGAAGAAGACTACAGTATTTAATATTCACCTTTTCTCTTTTTGGAATTGGCAAACAATCGATTTTATGAATCTATGCAAACAAGTTAGAACAACATTTTTCTTTCCAACTTACGCATAAAGTTATTTCTTAAGACTAAAGACTCTGTTGGCTCAAGCCATATTTTAAACCTGCAAAATACAGTAGTTGAACTTAGTGTAAATATGTAGGCTACAACTTCAAATTAATTAACTTGTCTCATTATGTCTACGCATTTTGTTATGTTACAGTTATTTTGAAAGTGTTTAAGTTATTGAAACTGTGTTAAATTCTGAACGGTAAGAACTTTTTACCAATTATACGAAAATTATATAAACCGATACCTTTCACTATTACAACCGATACCCTACTGTAGTTTAATCGAAGATAAACCAGTAGATATTATATGATAGTTTTGGCATCACATTACTGTACCGTTGTACAATGATATAACTTACTTGGTGTCACAATGGTTTTGTCGCCGGCGTTGAGGCAACTTCTGTAGAAGTCCCCCAGCTTCTTGAACGTCCCACTTCGGGTTCGTTCTTCTAGTAAATCTGAAAACGAATGTCCCCAGCTATAAACTTGTAGCAGTGAATATATTTATACTCATAAATACATTAAAATTATTAATTAATTAATAGTATAGGAATATGTTTTTATACGTCATATTTTCACAAATTAGTAAAAAAATGCAACGACAATTTTCGTCTTTAAAGTCAAGAGTCAAGAGATACAGATGAATCTAGTGCAAGATATAAGTAAACGTTTGTAAGCCTACATAATTGTATGGGTTTAACATTGACTGAATCCAAACTATAATGAAGAGTAACATATATTAGCGGTTGAGTCATTGCCAAATACAGTTGTCGTTTTGTAAGTAATTGCTCCAATCGTAAAAACATTGACATAAGTGTTTATACAGGGTGAGTTTTAAATGAGTCCCCCCCCCCTACTTTTTCTACATTTCTTAAGATATCAACTCCGGACCACGTCAGATCATTGTAGTAAGTACTTAATTTTGACTGGGTTTAAAATTTTGGCCGCCATCTTGGATCCGCCATATTGGATACAAAGTTATTTTTTCAAATGTAAAGGTAGGGCTGTGACCCACCGTTTCAAACTAGATTTTTACGCTGAATACGATGCTGCAATCCGTTTTTAAAAATCTTGATCCATTCTAAAGTTATGAGAACTTTTTATAACTTTATTTTTAGCCCATTATAACATATATTGTGCATTTACAAACTAAGGCCATAATCTCAAAATAGTGCTAGATAAAGATAAGTGGACACCACCATTCATTGTTGACCTGTTTTCACTTGGTTATGACGGATGTGTTTTTTCAGCCGCCATCTTGGATCCGCCATTTTGAAATGTGATAAATTATTTTAAATATTAAGGTGGTGCTGTGACCAATCATTTTGAACTACTTTTTTATGTCGAATTCAATGCCGCAATCCGTTTTTCATTGTCATATTTGGTTTTCAAAATATTGACATTTTAAATAAAATATTTGTAATATTTTATCAAGAAAGCTTGATAACAAAAAACGGATTGCGGCATTGAATTCAGCATCGGGTTTATCGGGCATGGCAAGGCACGGCAAGGCGAGGCGAAGACGTTTCGCCGTGCCGTGCTGTGTGTGCGGCCGGCCTACGTTGACCCGAACTGGTGTCGCTTTGAATTCCGTCTACAGAGTGGAGACCGTCGTCAGGATATATACAGTACGACGGAATCGACACGCCAACGAGGGACCTAAGATCACCACGTACTCTGGCCAGATTAAATTTAATTTTATTTATGCGTATGAATATCAATAACTTACCATCATAACTAAAATTAGCAAACGATCATAACTAAATTTAAAAAGTAGCTCATTATTAAATTTATTAAATTCTATTTTATTCTATTTAAATCATATAATTACAATTTGCAATCGATCATCACTAAATTTAAAAAAGATATTTCACTTTTGAATAGTTTAACTACTAATTTATTGTATTTGAATACATATCCGTTATTGTTCTTAATTCCATGTTTTTATTTTTCCTGTTTACCATACAGCATTAGACCCTGAAATATAAATTAACAAAAATCTAAAATTTCTTTGCTTATTGGAATATAACTAATTAAGTTAACTTTTAATTGATTTTATTTAAAGATACAAACAGACCGTAGCAGACTTTTCGTGAACAATTTTGTCAAGACTGATATCAAATTAATGATTTTTCATATTCTTACACGTCAAGTTTTAGAACGTTCAAAGAATTTCACTTAAGCTGCCAGGTGATATGAAAGTATTTATTAATACGATGTTAGGATCTTCATAATTATAAAGAACTAGTTATCAAAAACGTCGTTCAAAGCAATGCAATGAGGAGGACTATCGTATCTTCCAACATATATATTCATGAACTATAGGTACATATTCTCCGTACTTTTATTTTGTTTGAGAAAGATAAAGATCGGCATCGATGAATATTTTCTCTTACACTATTGTAAATCCTTAAATCAAATTATCTGGTGAATCATTGCAATGTTCCAAAAATGGAATGCAAAACAAATACATTTATATGTGATCTTGGACATTTCCACGTTTCTTAACCAAATTAACTATAAAACTTTAGCTCTTTAAATATGTGTTATCCTTATTAGGAAGGAAAATATTCATAAATATGCTAAAGTAAAATGGCTATGTCGAACAATACTATCCCACGTTTTTACCACCAACAAAATTAATTTGGCCTATTTTTTAAAATTATGTAAGTGTAGAAGAACGGAAGAGAAAGAAGTATTTACAAAAAAATCTTGAAAATAAAATAAAAAGGACAAAATGGTTAATAAATACTTAATAGGCGTTAGTGGTGTGGTGACCGTATTGCGGTGTATCGCTCACTGTATTGGCCGCACAGGCCGCACAGCGTCATATGGCCAACGCTGTATTGTGTCAGGACTGCCACTATCGTTACACCAGGCTGCTCGTGACCTTTTATTACCCTTCCTTCTTTTATTAGCCTTTTATGTAATGAAAGTGAATGGTTTTAGTTGGTGAAATATACACAGTAAAAGTAAGTTTTTCGATTAATTCGCTGTAATACTCTATCTTTTATTTAAAAAATACTCAGTCCATTGTAACAAATTAAATTAGTTTTGCAATATTTACACTTTTACTGTATTGTTTTTATTGTATGTCTTCACAGATTATGAGGGTGCACTTTAATTTTGGAGTTGCACGTGTATGTAGCTGTCATCGTCGTCAGACCGTGCTGTATAGGTCCGTGTGCTGTTGATACCAAAATATCAGTACCATATCCATTTGAAAGAGGATAATGGATGAGTATGCTATACGATGTATGTAAACATATTTACGTTTTATTTCAGCGTCCACATGGGCCTGCCTCGCATTCAGTCCATGATGTCTTCCCCAGCCACCGCAGGCAAACTGATAGAAGTCCTTACAAGGATCTACCTTCCAGGAGATGGAAGACTCTATCCTAGCAGCAGCGTCACGACACGCAGCACTCCCACACGTCGCTACCTTGGCTCTACAACCCACATCCTCGTCCTGCAACGGAATATAATCAAACTTCAGGATATCAACTACACTATACTGGCAGCAGCGTCACGACACGCAGCACTCCCACACGTAGCTACCTTGGCTCTACAACCCACATCCTCGTCCTGCAACGGAATATAATCAAACTTCAGGATATCAACTACACTATACTGGCAGCAGCGTCACGACACGCAGCACTCCCACACGTCGCTACCTTGGCTCTACAACCCACATCCTCGTCCTGCAACGGAATATAATCAAACTTCAGGATATCAACTACACTATACTGGCAGCAGCGTCACGACACGCAGCACTCCCACACGTAGCTACCTTGGCTCTACAACCCACATCCTCGTCCTGCAACGGAATATAATCAAACTTCAGGATATCAACTACACTATACTGGCAGCAGCGTCATGACACGCAGCACTCCCACACGTCGCTACCTTGGCTCTACAACCCACATCCTCGTCCTGCAACGGAATATAATCAAACTTCAGGATATCAACTACACTATCCTAGCAGCAGCAGCATGACACGCAGCACTCCCACACGTCGCTACCTTGGCTCTACAACCCACATCCTCGTCCTGCAACGGAATATAATCAAACTTCAGGATATCAACTACACTATACTGGCAGCAGCGTCACGACACGCAGCACTCCCACACGTCGCTACCTTGGCTCTACAACCCACATCCTCGTCCTGCAACGGAATATAATCAAACTTCAGGATATCAACTACACTATACTGGCAGCAGCGTCACGACACGCAGCACTCCCACACGTAGCTTCCTTGGCTCTACAACCCACATCCTCGTCCTGCAACGGAATATAATCAAACTTCAGGATATCAACTACACTATACTGGCAGCAGCGTCACGACACGCAGCACTCCCACACGTCGCTACCTTGGCTCTACAACCCACATCCTCGTCCTGCAACGGAATATAATCAAACTTCAGGATATCAACTACACTATACTGGCAGCAGCGTCACGACACGCAGCACTCCCACACGTAGCTACCTTGGCTCTACAACCCACATCCTCGTCCTGCAACGGAATATAATCAAACTTCAGGATATCAACTACACTATCCTAGCAGCAGCAGCATGACACGCAGCACTCCCACACGTCGCTACCTTGGCTCTACAACCCACATCCTCGTCCTGCAACGGAATATAATCAAACTTCAGGATATCAACTACACTATCCTAGCAGCAGCAGCATGACACGCAGCACTCCCACACGTCGCTACCTTGGCTCTACAACCCACATCCTCGTCCTGTAACGGAATATAATCAAACTTCAGGATATCAACTGCACTATCCTAGCAGCAGCGTCATGACACGCAGCACTCCCACACGTCGCTACCTTGGCTCTACAACCCACATCCTCGTCCTGCAACGGAATATAATCAAACTTCAGGATATCAACTACACTATACTGGCAGCAGCGTCATGACACGCAGCACTCCCACACGTCGCTACCTTGGCTCTACAACCCACATCCTCGTCCTGCAACGGAATATAATCAAACTTCAGGATATCAACTACACTATACTGGCAGCAGCGTCATGACACGCAGCACTCCCACACGTCGCTACCTTGGCTCTACAACCCACATCCTCGTCCTGTAACGGAATATAATCAAACTTCAGGATATCAACTGCACTATCCTAGCAGCAGCGTCATGACACGCAGCACTCCCACACGTCGCTACCTTGGCTCTACAACCCACATCCTCGTCCTGCAACGGAATATAATCAAACTTCAGGATATCAACTACACTATACTGGCAGCAGCGTCACGACACGCAGCACTCCCACACGTAGCTACCTTGGCTCTACAACCCACATCCTCGTCCTGCAACGGAATATAATCAAACTTCAGGATATCAACTACACTATACTGGCAGCAGCGTCATGACACGCAGCACTCCCACACGTCGCTACCTTGGCTCTACAACCCACATCCTCGTCCTGCAACGGAATATAATCAAACTTCAGGATATCAACTACACTATCCTAGCAGCAGCAGCATGACACGCAGCACTCCCACACGTCGCTACCTTGGCTCTACAACCCACATCCTCGTCCTGTAACGGAATATAATCTAACTTCAGGATATCAACTACACTATACTGGCAGCAGCGTCATGACACGCAGCACTCCCACACGTCGCTACCTTGGCTCTACAACCCACATCCTCGTCCTGTAACGGAATATAATCAAACTTCAGGATATCAACTACACTATCCTAGCAGCAGCGTCATGACACGCAGCACGACTACTATATACTAACGTATCTTCTCAACATTCAGTATGTTCTAAAACCAATAATAAATCCATCAACAAACTATTGTCAAACTCCATAAAGCATATCGTATAATATATTTTTAAATAATTCAAACACTATTCCTAACTATCTGATTAGTGTAATTATTAAACGTTCAACACAATAACTCACTCGGTGTGTACAAGCTTATTCACTGATTGCGATTTATAGATTGTATTTTATTGAGGCAAAGAATTAATGCTACAAAATGGCAATAAAATATAATAGAGCACAAAGTGTAAGATAGGTAACAGTTTGATTTAGATAACAAACGTTTCTCCTGCAATATGCACGGGTTAGTTGTTATGAGGTAATAAAGAAAATGCAGAAAAATAGGACAGGAGAGAGGAGACTTGGGCATACGCCAAAGTAATTTCGTTGTTGGCTCCAAGGGTGAAATAATTTCAGGCTGTAAATAAGTTATTATAAACTACCAAAAAAAAAAAAAAAAAATGCTTTTGATAAATCACACTGTTTGTTTTGATACCAGAGGATGGGTTAGTGACATAACTTTTTATTTGGAATACGGATTTAAAACTCGTATATAAATAAATCATAATTAAAATCATAGAAAATTATTTTACCGCAAAAGCAATCTAAATACCAAAAAAATATTTAAAAATTCTATTTTTCCTAATTATTTTTTAGCATTAAGACCGGTGTTAATATTTACCTCGTGTAAATTTATCAGGGTGATATTGTTTGAACATCCAGATCAATACGAGTATTGTACCTCTAACTTTAAACCTAACCAACTATTTCATTTTATATTTGTTTCTTTGATATAAATGTTCTTTAATATAAACACAAATACACCCACCACAGCAAACCTGCAAACTAATCGAATTTCCATTTATTTCCCTGGCTGGGTTTTCACTCAAATATACCCTGGAAATGCTCAGATTTATTTCCTATTTAAATTACATAGATCCATATATAAATCCCAAAGTACCCATGAACTTTTGAGAAAAATAAGTCACGCCCCCATAAACCTATACTTAAACATATACTTAAAATGTTCGTCATGACGAGAAACCCTGTGCAAAACTATCCATTATTTCATAAATTGCCCTTTAGGGTGGCAATTCTTTTCTAGAGGGAGTTTTCCATATACACCTAATTAAAATTAACTAATTTAATTTAACCTAAATGTTAAAAAAAAACCTCAGCTGCACTTATTTGTTTTAATAAACATTAGAATGCAATATTCAAATTTGTCTATTTCAAAATTGTAAAATTTGACAATATTGACAAATTTTATAAAATTACATTCCGAAACAAGCCAACTACATTAGGCCTACAACAGTTTATTATCCTTAAGAATAACATGGCCATTTTAAATGTACAGATGTTTAGAATGTTCTCATTAAGCATTTGGCGTACAACAACGCTTCTATATACTAAATCATTTGTGTGAATGCTCTACAAAATGGTTTGGAAAGAAATTACAAAATTATACGTTTGGAGTCAAACACGAAAAAAATCTTTAGCCTACCCCAAAAACCCACGTTCCTAATAGTACGATCATGCTGGTTCGTGAACTCGTTAAAATAAATGTAGATTTACACGTGTGGACGTGTGTACAAAATTTCATGAAAATCGAATGGTTTATATCAAGTTATACAGTATGTGAGTATAAACGAATTGAGTTTATGGCCTCTGGGGTGTTAAAAAGTTTGAGATAAAAGGTTTGAGATAAAAATCAGTACTGGGTCTGGTCTAGGTCTTACTACGAGACTTACGGTTACAACTTATTCCCTACATAGGAAATACGCTAATATTGACACAAACAAATAATTAGTAGTAGCCTACGACACTTTAAATATGTGTATTAAACATTGTTAATTGTTACCCATCCAGTAGAGATAAGAAATACTAAGTCTATAATTAATTTTTAATATGTAATGTATACTACGATTGCGTTTAGTAATATTTAATATCTTCTATACAGGGTGTCCCGTAAGTAAACAGCCAAACTCCGGGAAATGGTTCTATAGGTCAAAATAAAGAGAAAAACAATAATAACAATTTTTTTTTTCAAAATCGCTTCGTTAACCAATATCCGCCATTTTGTGTTTTTACATAAACATTTTTATTTTTGGATTTTTTCAACCGATCTTTATAAAACTTGGTATGTACGTTAAGGTATAAAAGTCCCAGAAAAAAATCATCTTGATTTAACTTAAAACATAAAAATGGCGACCATTTCAATTTTTGTAAACTTAAATTACTCAAAAAGAGCTACTTTTATGAAAAAATTCCTTAAACACTTTTATTTAGCATTTTTAATTCCCTATCAAACGATACCAAGTTCAAAAAGATCGAATAAGAAATGGCTGAAATATTACGATTTTTAGTTGTTTAATGGGGCAAACCTGACTAGCTGCTGCCATATTCTACCCCATTTTACAACTAAATACCCCCGCCGCAGCAGACTAGTTTTTTTTTTGTAAAATGATAATAGTTTAGTATGAAATGAATGCATTTTCCAAATTTGATCAAAATATGATCATAAACAAGCAAACTACAACAGTTAACTTATTCTCCATAAGAATAACATGGGATTTTAAATTTACAGTTTTTGGAATTTTTTATGTAACCATTAGGCGCATAATAACGCTTCAATATACTAAATTATTTGTTTTTTAAGCTCTACAAAATGGGTTGGAAAACAATGCTAAATATTAAGTTTTTAGGGTCAAAAATGGGAAATACAAATTTTTGCCCCATAAAACCCCCCATAAACCCCTGTTCCCATAGTCCGATCATGCTGGTTCGCGAACTCGTTCGAATAAACATAGGTCCCGGGTCCAGGTCTTACCATGAGTACTACGGTAATAGCTTATTCCCTATATGGGAAATTCGCTAAAATCGAAACATTTAAGATACTTCTTATTACATCTTTTTGAATTTTGTATCATTTGATAGGGAATTAAAAATCCTAAATAAAAGTGTTTTTGGCATTTTTTCATAAAAGTAGTGGTTTTTGAGTAATTTAAGTTTAAAAAATTAAAACGGCCGCCATTTTGAAGTTTTAAGTTGAATCAAGATGATTTTTTTCTAACATGGGTCTCTTATACCTTAACCTTCATACCAATTTTTATAAAGATCGGTTGAAAAAATCTAAAAATAAAAATGTTTATGTAAAAAATTCAAAATGTTGGATATCTGGTTAACGAAGCAGTTTTGGAAAAAATGTTATTCTTGATTTTCTCTTAATTTTGACCCATAGAACCATTTCCCGGAGTTTTGCTGTTTACTTACGGGACACCCTGTATATTAATAGGCAAGCATGTTTCTTTGAAACCTTTTATCTCAGCTCATATGCATCGCAGGGAAAATCTAAGCATACTGTTAGCAAGATTCAGTATTTTCCTGTAGATGTGCAGAATCCCTTTATAAATTAAAATAGGCTCATAAATAAGCACAATAAATGAATTTAAAATTAAAAAAAAATTAACATGGGTCTTATGGGTTGCCATGCTGGTGACGAAATAACAACGAAATACAAAAAGAAAATCAAAACAAATGGAAGAAACTCCAATCACATGTTTTATTTACAGCTTGGGATGAAAATAGAGAAGTCTGTACATTACATATTTTTGGTCGAGTTTTCGACCACTAGACGATCTCTAGTGGTAAATAAATATGAAGTAAATATACACAGTAAGTAAATAGTATATATATATATATATGTGTATATATATAGTATATAACGTAGCTTATCCTAGTATACAGTTATATCTAGATAGCTTATGCAAACAATTTGCTAGCTCCTTGTAGACTAAAATGTTTTCTTAAAATCTCAGACTGAAGGTCAAATAAATAAAGTTAATATATTTTTTTACCACAAAATAGGACTAAAATATTCAGTGATAAATTGAAAGAATTGCCTAATGAGGTGCGGAGGAACCCTTAAATCTGGAGCTAAAGATAATGCCACTGTTGAATCTCTAATAAATATAAGGCTTAAGCGCAAGAAAGCAACATCAGTTGTTCGTAACGTAAATACAATAAATAAAGCCTCTGCGTTTTGGAAGCAATCCAATGTAACTGGCGCCTGCTCTAACACATTGACAAACCATGGGCCCTCGTACTTCAAGCCGTGGTAGTGGGCCTACATGGTTGTGAAGACATGTTAATAATTCATGTACTAAGCAAATATTTGAGTCTTGGTTACAATCTAAGATTTTTTTAAATATTATGCACCTCAAGCAGTAATTGTAATGACTTAATTATGTTATGTGGTGGGTGACATGATCATGTAGCAATGTGTGTTTCCAGCCAAATAACAGCAAAATAGATGTGAGATTAATAGGGTGTCTTGTTACGAAAGCAGACTGACTGGATCTTAAGCTAGGTTCAGATCGGTTCAGTTTTAAAAACTTCTACCAAACAAACTAAGCAACTCGCACAATTTGCATAGCGCGTGATTAAGGCTGTGTTTGCAAGCGAGGAGTTTAAAAACGTCGCGCGACAGCCTCCAACAAACCCTCCTAAATTACGTGTTTATGCTTCTGAGAGGCAGAAACAGTAGGCCTACCCAGTGCCCATTAGTACAGTAGTCATACCCAGAGAAGAATCTCCCTTTATAGTTCGATCCGTAAGAAGAAATTTGCAGGATATTTTTGCTAGACAATGAAAAACTAGTAACGATGGTTTATCTTCGCGTCTACCTTAGTGTATCTCACGCCTTCAAACAAAACATTTTGGCGTATCATTGCTTCCCTTCCTTCTCCACAGTGTGCTACAGCTCCCAAGCGTTGCCTCTCAAGCTAATTCCAATACCACATTATCTTCCATGTTTTCAATGGGCAGACTTTATAATCCACTTTTCCAACCGATCTACATTGTCTTCATAGAAGTATATTTAGTATTTAGTATAGAAGTATAACTAGGTATTTACCATGTACGTATTAAAGTTAAGTTTTACTCGAGATCATCTGCACCTATAATTATAAATAGTAAATACAAAATAGTAGTTTCTAGGACAGTAATTTTACATAGTCTACTCACCGGCTTACAAGGCGCATTTCTGGGGCCAGACGGAGCGCTGCTGATGAGGAATAAGACTGGGGAAGCAACCAGGAGTGACATGACCAATAGCATTGCGACACTGAGTGACGCCTTGTGTACACTGGTGTTGCGCTGAAGCCAGGAGCACGGCAGACAACACAACCACACTCCTCCGTCTGACAAACCACCGTCCTGTCACAACAAACATGAGGAATAAGACTGGGGAAGCAACCAGGAGTGACATGACCAATAGCATTGCGACACTGAGTGACGCCTTGTGTACACTGGTGTTGCGCTGAAGCCAGGAGCACGGCAGACAACACAACCACACTCCTCCGTCTGACAAACCACCGTCCTGTCACAACAAACATACGACAGCACATTACAACAAGAAAGACAGGATGAGCTACCATGAGTCTAATGACCTGAGTCTTGAGACAAAGCCAGCCAAGTGACCAAGTTTTGTGACGTTTTCTTGTTATTCCAAACCTAATTATTGTTAATTCCTTATACATAATTAAGTATACTAAAGAACCTCACGTTAACTACAATATCTACTTTAATACAGCAATGCCCACATCTTAGCCGAATGTCTCACCTGAATGTGTATTTGCTCAACGTCTCCGTGGCCGTGGCCAGCCGTGGGCCCGTGGCCGTGGCCAGCCGTGGGCCCGTGGCCGTGACCAGCCGTGGGCCCGTGGCTGGGGACTGGCCCATGGCCGGGTGGGTTGGGGTGACTGGTGCCTTCCTCCATACCATCAGCGCATGCCTGCAGATAAATTATAGCAATTTAGCAATTAGCAATTTAGATCATTCAAAACTCGTTCAACGCCTGTTATTCTAAACAACTGCATCAAAGAATTTTTAATTACTAAAAAAACACTATATTTATTTATTTTATTATTTAGGATGACAGATTTTACTCTTGGTTACTCAACTAAACCGATATCCTTTGAAGGCAGAAATAACAGAGGATTTGACTAGGGAGTATGTTTAATCTATGATTTGACTCAAGTAAGACTGCATCACCCTGAGCAAGTCTGGGTTTATGAAAACAAAAGCCGAAAAAGTAAAACGATTTTCATTATTAATGCATCAATGAAGTTATTCTCTTTGCATTAGAGCAGTGTACAGGCCATCTCAATCAATTCTTATTATTGATGGTATGTTCATGTTGAGTCTGCTATTGTGACCTATGATAACTTTAAGTTCATTGTAATGTCTGTTTATAGAGTTCCAGATGGAAACCTCAATATATTTCTTGAGTCCTTGGAAAATTTAATTGTATCCCTGTCAAAGTATAACCTACCTATTGTGATCTGTGGTGACATAAACATTGATGTATTGGTGGAAGGTATACCACAAAAAAATTTGGATAACCTGCTCAGGTCAGTAGATTGCCACTATACTAACAAGGAACCTACTAGAGGGTTAAAATGTCTGGACAATGTGATCACTAACCTCCCTAGAGACAATATTCATGTTAATGTTTCCCTGCCTTTAACACCTGCCTTTAGCAGGTTGTTTAACTTTGTTAAACACGTGTCTGCAATTGACTGGTCGTTTCTTAATAACGTATCTAATGGCAGGTCTTTTGAGTTATTCTGGAGTTATTCATGGAAAAGTTCCGTGAAAAATTAGATTTATGTATTCCCATCAAACCGGTAAAGAAAAATCCTCATGTAAAGCGCCGTGGAACTGGAAATGCTTGGTTCACAAATGACCTCCGTCAGCTTCGTGAAGAAACTTTAACATGTTACCATAATTTATTATGGGCGTCCAAGTACAACATCAATGTGGGATTCTTCAAGCAGGCCTACATGGATGCTAGGAAGGACTATAAAGCAGCCATTAAAGATGCTAAACTTCACTTTAACGCCAAGTTTATCGAATCGTCCTCCAACAAATGTAAGACAGCCTGGTCTGTCATAAATTCAGCTAGGATTAGCTCCAGCAAGGCGGGCGTTGTACCCATAACTGCGGATGAATTCAACCATTACTTCATCTCATCTGTGGCGGATGTTCAGAAAACTGTCAATCTCAATCAACCTGCTTCTACTTACCTGCTCAACAATTTTGCTGTACCCGAGGTCACCTTCAGATGGAAGCCAGTGAGCTGTGATGATGTCGCAAAGTTGATACTAAACATGGAAAGTGGAAATTCCAAAGACATATATGGTATCAATAGTGATTTTGTAAAGGAAGTGGCCCACTGTATAGTGGCACCACTTACACATTGCATAAATGATTGCTTCACTAGTGGTGTCTACCCCTTGTGCCTGAAATCCTCAAAAACTGTACCAATCTACAAGAAAGGTGACACTAGTTCTCCAGGAAGCTACCGGCCGATCTCTGTGGTGCCTTGTTTTTCCAAAATCGTTGAATCAGCAATGAAACACCAGGTAAATGAATTTTTTGAGACAAATTTTTTGTTTTCCAAATTTCAGTTTGGTTTTCGGAGGGGACTGTCTACTGTGGATGCGGTCGAGAGCCTTGTACAGAAGGTTGTAGATGGTTTTGAAAACCACTCACACACTTTAACAACTTTATGTGACCTTACCAAGGCTTTCGATTGCGTTCCGCATGAGATACTCCTCACGAAATTAAGGCATTATGGCATTGTTGGTGTGGAGCTTAGCCTATTTCAATCTTACTTAGAAAATCGCTCGCAGAGAGTTTTGTTCAATAATGCCCTCTCTGACGTAGCTCTGATCAAAAGTGGAGTACCGCAGGGTTCGGTACTGGGCCCATTCTTGTTCCTTGTACATGTAAATGATCTCTCTTCAAACATAGATGTAAACTCAGTTGTCTTTGCAGATGATACAACCTTTTTTTGTAGTGGTTCTAATGTAAATAGCCTTGTATTGTTAATGAATAATGCTCTAAATGATGCTAACTCTTGGTTTGAAACAAATGGGTTGCTTTTGAATGACTCTAAAACCCAGAATATTTTATTCACTCTTGGTAATAGTCCAGTCAATAAAGGGGTTGTAGAGGACATGGAGAGGGGGAAATTTTTTTTCTGCGGGAATGTGTTCGGGGTAGTTAGAAGGTAAAAATACCAAAAGTCCCCGCCCCTGGCCCTGCTGCTTCAGCGGGGGGAGGGGGGGAAAGACCCCATTTTTTAGTTTTTTACTTCTACACTGAAAACCGTGCATCGTACGGGAAAAATGTAAATTATTAAAAGAAAGATGATAAAATTCTCTACAAGAATGGTTATATTCATTTCTTATGTATATGCATTAGTTTTCAAGATATTCTCAAAATAAGATAAAAATTATTTTCTAAATTGATTTTTCAGACGTTTTTTTTAAATAAATTCATATAATCGATTAGCCAGCTGTTGTTTTACATTAATAAGGATAGAAAACAGGTTTTGGAGCACAAACCTATATAATATAATATATCCATCGCATATATTGTGTTAAAAATAGTTTATATAAATTTAAATAAGTTTTGTATATTTGTCATGGAAACAAGTAATTTTGGCATAATTATTACACTAAAAATTAAAAAGATTATTTTTGCAGCTACATTTGTCCAGGTTTATTTATAACAAACTACCGAAACCAAGACTTTTAATACTATTGTTCGTGATCTGACTCACTTGGGACGAGAGGGTCCGACTTCTGTCCCAGAAACAGGTGCCATCTGGAACTGGAACTGAGAACCACCATCTAGGACATCTCCATCATTCAATTCTTGTTGATTAGACTCAATATTGGCTATCGAAGTGATAATGCGGTGTAGGCCTATATATTCTTCATCTTCCTCATTCATCAGAATGGGCATTCCATGTAAAAAGTTCCCTTAGCAGTTCTGGCATAACGGCCAATGAGGAACAATTAATGGACATTTCATTGCATGCACATCTTTTATTGCTACAACCTTTAGTATATTTGCAAAAAACATTCTCAACATTTCTCGTGGGTTAGGTGGTTCATTGGTTAAAAATGGGAACAGATTACCTTTTTGCGCTCCCAACCCCACATTTTTGAGGGTAGTTGGTAGTTGGTTTTCCAAACAGAGTTGTCCTTGATGAAATGATACAAATGATGAAATGTCATATATTTCTAAACTGACAGCAATGTTTTAAAATCACCCACTCTTCCCTGAAGCTCAAGACATTATGTCAATAGCATCTGGTAGGAGATGAATCCGTTAACTGTTACGATGCTCTATTACGTGGTCAGCAAGTAATTATAATCAAATGGTAATCATTTTCGGACAACAAGCTTTCACGGGAAAATATGGCTCTCCCTTTGTCTTCTGTGAGTTCAACCATATTGCAATGATTAAAACGTTGTAGCAAAACCTTTAATTCTGTTTCAAATGATTTGTTTAAGTTAAAAAAAGTTATCAAGATTTAAAGGATTGTTACGATTTGAACTTGCTCCATTTCCCTTTATTTATTGAGAGTAGTATGATAAAGACCAAAAAGGCTGCTCTGTTCAATACCATAGCAATCAAAAAACAGCACGAATATGGCAGACCAAGAAAGACGCTACGGATTGAAAAAGTCAGTAGCAGTGGCGGCCCCAGCATTTAATTTGGAAGTTAAAGCATAATAATAACGTATAGTTTTATAGTATTTCAGCTCTAAAATATCTTCAAGCTACTAGTATTTATGTTAGGTTATAAAATATTTTGGAGAGGATACACCCCCCCCCCCCCCACACCAAGGACCGCCACTGGTCAGTAAGTATTCATTTGAACAGCGACACCGAAATTATAGTAACCAGGAACAGTTAATCTCTTAACCAAGGTTTTTGCAAATGTACTAAAGATTATAACAGATGCAAAATTTGTGCATGCAAGAAAAAGTCCAATTGTTCCCCGTTATGCCAGAACTGCTAAGGGAACTTTTTACATGGAATGCCCATTATGATGAATGAGGAAGATGAAGAATATATAGGCCTACACCACATTATCACTTCGATAGCCAATATTGAGTCTAATCAACAAGAATTGAATGATGGAGATGTCCTAGATGGTGGTTCTCAGTTCCAGTTCCAGATGGCACCTGTTTTTGGGACAGAAGTCGGACCCTCTCGTCCCAAGTGAGTCAGATCACGAACAATAGTATTAAAAGTCTTGGTTTCGGTAGTTGTTATAAATAAACCTGGACAAATGTAGCTGCAAAAATAATCTTTTTAATTTTTAGTGTAATAATTATGCCAAAATTACTTGTTTCCATGACAAATATACAAAACTTATTTAAATTTATATAAACTATTTTTAACACAATATATGCGATGGATATATTATATTATATAGGTTTGTGCTCCAAAACCTGTTTTCTATCCTTATTAATGTAAAACAACGGCTGGCTAATCGATTATATGAATTTATTTTAAAAAAACGTCTGAAAAATCAATTTAGAAAATAATTTTTATCTTATTTTGAGAATATCTTGAAAACTAATGCATATACATAAGAAATGAATATAACCATTCTTGTAGAGAATGTGATCATCTTTCTTTCTATAATTTACATTTTTCCCGTACGATGCACGGTTTTCAGTGTAGAAGTAAAAAACTAAAAAATGGGGTCTTTCCCCCCCTCCCCCCGCTGAAGCAGCAGGGCCAGGGGCGGGGACTTTTGGTATTTTTACCTTCTAACTACCCCGAACACATTCCCGCAGAAAAAAAATTTCCCCCTCTCCATGTCCTCTACACCCCTCTTTTGAGCCTTCATTGACTGGACTATAAACCTGATCTTGGGCTTTTAGATGTGGAAAAAAATGTCAAACTTTTGGGAATCTGGCTT